TACGCGGGAGCAGCCTTCTAAGCTTAGATTACAAGGTTTTATCGAATGTTTTCTGTGAAAGATGCCCACCGTTAATGAACTGATTGGACCTTATCAGTGTAACTTTAGACTTTGCAAATAGGATTGACATGCACCATCTATTTGTCGGTTTCAATGCCGCTTTCAACAGCACGAAAATATGTTGCCTTTATGCCACGACGTCTGAATTTTTTATCCCGTGACGTTGAGCAATACCATCAGCTCCGTCAGAATTGGGAAGGACCCCCCCGAGCCATTTGATACCAAACGGGGCCTCAGACAAGGTGACTCTCCTTCGTGTGATTTCTTTAATCTGATGTTGGAGAAGATAATAAGAGCCGCAGAAATGAACCGCTCAAGCACAATACTTTACAAGAGCGCACAATTGCTGGCGGATGCCGACAATACTGACATTATCGGTAAAAAAAAAGGGCTACGTCTGTTCTGCCTTCTCGGGATTAGATAGAGAAGCAAAGCGAATTGGTCTGTTGGTGAACGCGGACAAAGCGAAGTATCTCCTGTCATCACACAAACAGCTAAAGCATACGCGTCTTGGCACCCTCGTCACTGTTGAAAGCAACGACTTTGAAAAAGTAGACGACTTCGTTTATTTGGTAACCAGCATTAACACCAACTAGCTTACCCGTGCGAATTATTCGCTTCAGGAGTTTGTTTTATTGCAGTCACTACAGATGTGTAATTTTAACTGAAACCTTACAAAACTTCTTTGAAAACAAAGTTGGAAGTAGATACAATCCTGCGCTTTGAAGCGACTGACCTTGTGCTTTATTGCTTGTCATAGCAAAGGCCACCTTTACCGGGAACTGTTTTCTTACTAATTGGAAAGGCGTGACTGGAAAATTAATTTATGTGGTGGTAAATCAGTCAGTCACACGTTTTTGAACAGAATCTAAACTGAGGTAAATCTTTTCTTCATCAAATATCAGATTTGAAATAATATCCTCATTCATTTTTGTGCAATGATCATTTTTTTACATAAAATCGCTGCTGAATAAATTTGGGTAGTGTTGTTACCACTGATTTGCGTGACATTGAATACCGAAGTAATAATACCTACGTAATTACATAAACATTTAATCGCTTCATTGAAGTATTCCGTGTGAATTTCTAAATCGCCAATACTTTATTAGAGTGGCCATTCAGTAAAAGCATGATCCTCATTTGCCTGTCGCCATAAAGGTGATCGTTTAACTGAACTGTCAACATTTGGCCGTCCTACTGCCATGTCTAACGACAGATAACACTTGACGGAAGTCTAGACCAAACAGAACGATTTTGCCTCCAAAAGGAAAACTATTATTCATTATCGATCTATTACACTTAGTGATTTTTTAGAAACCATCGAAGTCTCATTCCAAATAATGATGGCCGAGTCACGGAGAATAATTATAGTTGGCAACCCTCTTCAAAATTATTACTTTTATTTACTATTATTATTACAATGCAAATTTTTAGTCAATATCTATATATTTAGACAAGAAAATTTTAAGCAGGTGGCAACCCTATCAAAAAGTTTTTCTTGTTTGCCTCAACCGGTGAAACTGCCCTTCAAAATGGTGTTTCAATTAATCAATTAGATGGAAGATATTGCGCTTTATTGGCCGGATACAGTGCTTTCAGCTTTAAAAAATCCCCTTTCTTTAATAGATAACTAAATTTGAACAAAGTGACTATTTTTCGCATATACGTGAGCTTCCTCTCTTCAAAATGAGATATCATTCAATAGATTTGATGAAATATTAAAGGAGATGTCGTTTGGTAACAGAAAAATTCCTTTTAGAAATAAATATATAGATAATAATGTCAGCCTCGAAATCCAACGGAGAATCACTCTTGCCAACAAGTGTTACTTTGGACTGAGTAGGCGATTGAGAAGTAAAGTCTTCTCTCGTCGTACAAAGATTACATTCTATAAGTCACTCATCATGCCTGTGCTGATATATATGCGCCGAAGCATTGACAATGAAAACATCTGATGAAGAGGCTCTTGGAGTTTTCGAGAGAAAGACTCTGCGTAAGATTTACGGGACGCTGCGCGTTGGCGATGGCAAATACCGCAGAAGAATTAACAATAAGGTGTATGAGCTTAACAACTATATAGACATAGTTCAGCGAATTAAAATTTAGCGACTGCGGTGGCTTGGCCATGTCGTTCGAATGGACAGAAACGTTCCTGGTCTGAAAGTGTTCAACGCGGGTCGCGATGCTGATAACATAGGAATAGGAAGGCGTTGGAAAAACCAGGTGGAGAAGGACTTGGCTTCATTTGGCATTTCCAGTTGGCGTCAGTTTTGGACTTGAGAAATGTAAAATATGATAAAAAGAAGTAAAACGCAATTTTTGCAAACATCAGCAACGAGTCTGTGATTTTACGGACGTAAAATACGGTGTACGTGTAGTGTGTAACCTGCCGCATAGGCACTATTGACGCTGGCACTGACGGTGATGGCGTCGTCAGTGACGCATTGGAAAGTTTCGCTTTTAGGTGTTACAGCGCCAATAAAAAAGAAGGAGAGAGGGTGGGGCTTAAATATTTCTATAAAAAAGCTTAAATTACTACATTGTCTAAGATGTTGCCAAAATACTTCGGCTTAAGTAAGTTTGGGTACTTTTGAGGAAACATTTTACTGAAAGGTGATAATAATATCACAAATGAAGGGTTATGGAGGAAGGTATTTTGATTCTAAAAGTTATGACCCCTTCGGCCTTTAAAATCTGTTCCAATGCACCCGAATGCCCTCAAGTCGTTGGCCGGCAGCACTTGGGGCAAAGACAAAGAAACGTTGTTGGCAACATACAAGGCAATTAGCCGACCGGTTCTAAACTATGCAGCGCCCGTGTGGTCGCCTGGGACTAGCAGGGCGCAGTGGATGAAGCTACAGACCTGCCAGATTACGGCAATCGGACAGCGACCGGATGCTTTCTGATGACACCTCAACAGCACCTTCACAACGAGGACAACGAGGACCAGATGCTCCCAATCAAGGAGCATAACACAATGTTCTGCAAGCAGTTTCTTGCGGGGAGCCACAGACGTGGTCATCCAAACAAACAGCTGCTCACAGAAGAGCCTTCGCCAAGGCACGTCAGGAGCCATCTCTACGAACGGACGAAGTCCAGAGGTTCATTAAACAACCTTTGGACCCGTCAGCTAATCGACAGGCCCGGAGAGACATTCACAGGGAGTCGGTCTCAAGTTGTATAGACTCCCGCCCTGTGAGCTCATTAATAATTCACAATAGGCAATTTTCAGAGTTTTGAGGCAATTTCGTGTCAACTTAGCTGAAACTGAGACTCATACGCAATTTCAGGTGACAGTTTTTTTATGGTCAAATTGAGAATCGTATCGCAATTTCAGCTGAAATTGAAAACAGTGTCGAAATCGCGCGTTTTGCAAGGCGTGGAAACGAGCTTTTCGGAGCATCCAGATACGTACGTATCCATATCTTTCATTTATGCATGAATGCATTTACATACACAAACCCAAAAGCGGATCAATAAAATATGTATATCATATTAAGGGTAATCACTTATACCTTGTAAATAAAATAAATTTCTTTAGCATTAATTATGATTTTTTTTCGAAAAGGGTTATTCATGAAAAAAAAAATTTTTAGTTGTTTAGTAAACTTTTAAATTATGTACATCAAGGGACAAATAAGCTAATTTTCTTTATTTTATTATCATTTGTTTTTTAGCGTGTTTTGTAGTTTTTCGGATGTTAATGTTTAACATATGGGTGTTTCCAGCGGAAGGTCCACCACGACAAAAAAAATAAAAGTTTTATATCTAACGTATTTACGGGCCGATTTGTCTGCTTTTTAAAATATATACTGGCTATGTAAGTAGAATCATGTTTGCATAAAATGGTCTTCCTAGGTGGTGCCAAGGTCGAGATATTTCGAAAAACCGTATTTATGGTCCGATTTGGTTCGAATTTGGCGTATGTGGTTGAAACATAATAAATCATAGATTTCCAATAAATTGACCCTGAATTGGCGCTGAAGTCAAAATATAAAGTATATTCTACATAAAATACATGTTTTATTTGCGTTAAAAATTCATTTAAAAGCAATGGCCCGTAGTCATAGTCAAAATAAAGTCGACTTTAAAGTTAGTTGCAGCTTTTTTGACAGATATCCCATTGAAAATTATGTCAAAAAGCTGCAACTAACTTTAAAGCCGACTTTATTTTGACTATGACTATGGGCCAATATTAACAAAAATATAACGATGGAAATTTGCATTAATTCAAAAAACTCTAAAAACAACTAGAATTGTTCCAAATCATATTAAAATAAGTTTCATAAAAATAGCCATCCACAATTCGCAGAGTTTTGCGATTTTGTAAGAAAAGAAAAAATCAACTTCCATTTTTTGTCACGTAACGACCCTCTCTTTAAATGTTTATATATCAGGACCAAGCAGTTCGATTGATTTCATTTTTCGGTTAAATATAGAGCTAATTATGCGCTATACAATGGTTCAAAAAAGTTAAAGAAAACAAATGGTATTCCTTTTTTGTATCACATTGAAATCGTACGACTGTCACGTGCGCCACCATGGGAATGCCCATATCGAAAATTTTTTTTTGATCTTCTTATATATTCGTTCTTTTCAGCTATTTCAAATAATTTGGTTTGGTTGAAATAAGCTCGAAAGTGTCTATCGATACACATTTATGGTTTTTGAATAGGTTAGCGGTTGGTACTCTAAACTTATTTCAAAAATTTGAAATTAAAACAAATTTAATATAAATACAGGTAGGTACAACTTCAACCAATTCTGCTAACTGTGTTGCACTTGTCAAGCTGTCAACTCTATAATCAGCGAAAGCTGAAAAGCGCCGTGTGCTTGTAAAGCGTTGGGAGGAGTTCTGCCTTTAGTGTTAGTGGTTCAGTATGGCAACTCCATGATAGAGAGAAAAAATCGGTAGAGATTATTTGCTATCGTTTATCGATACTATTGTAGTTTATTTTTCTAGTCTTGGGTGAATTGTGTTCCTGCAATTTTGTGTCCTAATTGTGCTAAAACCCCTAATCACTGAATAAAAGTGCAGAAAAATAACCAGTAGCATAAGCCTTCCAAACATTTTAAAGTATCCCAACTTTGACATGTCCACCAGCTGCACGCATTCGCGGCAGCGTCAATTTTTGCGTTTCGGTGGTAGCCTGCAGGAATTGCGTGAGCATTTGCATCAAGAAATCGAAAACAAAGCAAAACAGTGCTCTAATTCCACTTACGAATGCACAATACCACGCGTTGATGGTCACGAATACTGTATGCGCCACATTTTGTGCGACCCATCTGGTAATTTTCGTCAATGCACTTATACCTATCCAAATGGACGCAAATGCCCAAATGCATTACAGAAACATGACATCAAAAAAGATCCTGCCTTGACAACACTTTGCTTCGACCATAATCGCCAAGCACAGCTGCAGAAAACGCACACTATAGTGGGTAAATTAAAGCGCATCGATACCAACGAAGTGCTGTTGAACAGCTTGGCACATCACGTTAATGTAGAAGATGTGCAGCCAGAAGAAAGTGTGAGCGAACAAGATGAAGAAATTGATGTTGTATCACCACACGTGGCCCCATTTGGTAGGAAAGCACTTTTTAAAGTTACAGCATATGTTATTAATCGGCTTATGTATTTCATAGTTGCATATGACCAGGTTAAAAGCTTGAATTCGGTTACATCTCGTTTGCAAAAGAGACGACGCATTCTAGATTACGCTTCGGATAGCTCAAGCGAGGATGATAATCCACCCAACATAAACAACACAGCACGGGGATTTGATTTCATAGAGTCGGACAATGAGAGCGTAGATTCACAAGCTGAGGATATGTTGAAGTAATTTGAAAGATACATTTGAGCCTCTTTATTTATTTATTTTTTAAGAACGCTTATGCAATAATATATTTTATACACTCAATTCGTAAAGAATTAAAACAAATCTAAATTTATAGATATTTATCAAGTCCTACACTTGAAAAAAAATCATGCAATATTATTTTTCTATTTGAACATTTTTGTAGACACGCTGGCATTTATACGCGTGAGGAGGCTTTACGCATCTCTGAAGCCAAACTAACTAAATTGCAAGGATTGTACATCAACCAAATCAATCGCTTACATCACACATTGAAAGAGCGTCGTCGTCGTTATCTACTTGCCTTGCGTAAGGAGCGTGAAATGCTTTGTAGGTGACGGTGTCTTTAATATTTGTTAATTTAAGTATTTTGACCACACTCATTTTTTTATTCCCCTATTTAGGTAGCATTCACGACCAACTAAAAGACACGCCACGCGAACGCCAGCTTTATGATCAGCTTAAGGCACTCAATACATATCACCGTCGTTATGGTGTCGAGGCAGTGCTCCATAAGAAATTTAAAGAAAAGCGTTCCCGCGCCACAGAGGGCTATACACAAAGAGGTCCCGGTTATACCAAATGTGTCTTCACTGAAGGCGGTGTTAAATGCGGTGAACGAGCTATGCCTTGCTGCAAATTCTGCCGAAAACATATTTTGGAAGATAAAAAACAGATACTATTCCGTGCCTGTGAGGTGGAGAAGAGCGGCGTTGTGTGCCAGGAACCCATACCGTGCATCTTTGACGATGCATCGACATGTGTCTTGCATTTGTCCATACCTCCGCGTCGTCAATACATTCAAAAGGTGTGTGCGCCGTGAAAAACAATAGCACGCTTCACTATTACTAACTACTTTTGAGTTACTTGTTCGCATATTGCTATGCTAAAGTCTACTAGATTAGCAAATATTTCCGAATATGTTCAACTCCCGTTCAGCTTAAGCTTGCATCTATGAAAAATTTGAACTGGACCCAACTTTTAATTTACCAAGTTACCTTGATTCATTACTGTTTTATATTTGTTTAATATTCTACAAACTTTATTTAGATTGCCATTGTTGCGCCAATTCTATGGCATATTTAAAATTTTTCTAATTTCGTAAAATTGTAAATAAACGTACGTTCTCCTCCATCTTGCAGGATTACCCTAAATATGCTCCAACTGATGAGGTAGCACAATACAGGGAAAGGGTAATTTAAGACTGTGACACTGTAAAAGCTAAGCGAACAAATGAATTATTATTGTATAAGCCAATGAAAATTGTCATTAAAAATAACTTTGATTATAGTTATTGCTCAGACTAAGCCAAATGTAATATGTAATGTGCGAATCTCAAGTCAAATTTAGGTACTAATATAACCGAAAAAAAGTTTGCACAACCACTTAATGGAAGTTGATCGCCAAGTAAACTGTGAAGTTCACCCGGCAACAAAACCTGCTCAAACTGATTACTCTATATTTCTCTTTACAGAAGGAAGAATCAGAAACCGAGGAAGATGAATTTATGGATGCTAAAGTGCCGAAGTTGGAGAATTCGAATTCGAGTAAAGTAGTGGGTTCGATATGTGAAATTAGAGCTGCAGCTTCGCCGGCTAGGAATATAACCATATCACATGACAAAAACGAAGCTGCTGAAGCATCGAAGATGATGCAATAGAATACAATTTACCGATATATGTAGCATACTTGTAGCAAAAATCAAAAGCAGTTTATGGAACGGTGTTTTAAAGATGAAATGTCTAAATGATCATGCAATATTTTAAAGTGGTTTTAGCCGAATGGTAATTTATTTTTGGAGGAGCTCAATTGAGTAAAAAATGTGGAATAAACATATATATAAAGTGCTAGTCGGATTAAAAAAAAAATCTCCTTTATATACATACATACATACTATGTATGTATATTCGTGCATTGAGAGTAGAAAACTACTAATCGGTCTTAGTTTTGTATTATGGTTTTAAAAGAAATTCAACTTTTAACCCCTTGTCCTTAAATAATTTATGTGTAAACCTACATTGTTCAAATAATTTGTAGATATATGTTTTCCAGGGATTTGACTTTATAGTGTTTCCTGCCTTTTGGTGCTAGATTGGTAACACAAGGAATGGCCAGGTTACTTCACGAAGTTGTAATAGCAATAAAATTCCTTGACATCCTTGGCCCGAAGTAGATACTGGGGTTCCGGTAAAGATTTGGGATTTTTTTGTAATCTTGATCAAAATATCACCACACACCACACCACTTGCCTTTTATGGAAGACAGAATATTTATTGAACACATGTACGGCGACTGCGAAGGTAGCATATTCGCTGGAAATCCGCCTTGGACTAGCATCTCATCACGATGACAAACCTTTGAGGTCAACGTGCCGATACAATAGCAGCAAAAGAATTATGGACATTGTGGATGCGAAGACTTCAACAATTACAAACAACCCAATTGAAGGAGAACTTGTATTTTACTTTAAAGTTTTGGATTTTAATTTCCTTGTTAATCAGCAACACTAATCGAACATCATTACACACATCTATTAAAGTAAATACAGTGCGCTGACAACTGTAGTTGAATGTCCTTTCCGAGCTTGCTGCCATAGTTTTCAGTTTTTCATATTTGACGAAAAGAATCTAAATAAGTATGTATGTATTTTCATACTACCATTTATATTTTTGCCCTAATATTTGTAAGGTTCCGACGGAGAAAAGATATGCTTGTAAACTTGTAATCCTTAAAATATGGAGTTAAAAACTTATGCGGAGCAGCGAGCGTATGAAAGCAAATTAGTTGACAACCGGAAATTTGACACACAGTTTGAAAGCTTTATTGATTTCGTTTCTTTGCCTGAACTAGCATGACTGGTTTGAAAAGCACTGTATGGTTTTAAGAAATCAAACGACAGTTGAGAAAGCAGTAGAATAAAAATTACTTGCTTGAAACGGAATCATTAGTTTTGGTTTGTGTTCCGGTTGCCTTGCAGCTTATTCCGTAAAGCGGGCCGTCAGAACGAATCCGTTTGCGTCCGTGGCGGACGCTTTAATAACGCCGTCAGAATGGGTACTTGTACGTCACGTAGAGAGACGCCATAATTCAGGTGTTACATTTGTGGACTCACAGGTGAATACAAATCCCAAACATACCTTCATCGTACCGTTTTAAGTTTATAATCTTCAACTTTCATAAATTTTTCGGTACTATTATTTAGTAAGCATTATTTTGCATGTTTTATCTATTTATTACTGTAAGGTTTTACATTAATGTGCGCATGCGATAAAAAAAAACTTAAATAAATGGATTGCGTAAATAGCAAAATCTTTTTAGCTTATGTAAAAGGCTCGTTATGGAGCAATGAGGTAGTACTCTCCTACTACTCCATCATGATTCAATAATACAAGGTTGGATAAATATTGACATTTGTGTCAATCGACTGCCTTGTAAGGTTGCATTTGAGAAGGATAGAGAAGCGGGTAACAATTTTATCCCCTTTTGTGAAAAGGTAGTAAGTAAGTAAGTAAAGTAAGTAGTCTGGTAGTGCCGAAATGCGTTTTTGTATACAAATTGAATTAAATATATAAAGAAGATTCCACTGATCTACACAATAGACAATGAATTAACTTTTTATGGCCACATAAATATTAAAAAATGAAATATGTAAATGGATATTCAATCTTTCAAATCTTTGAAATCTTTGAAGAAATATTCCCAAATATTCAAAATAAACCATGGTTTCATTGATATTCCAGTATATATTTAACAAAATTAATGGAATTCAAACAAATTCTTTTATTCAAAGGGACTATATGAAGAATTATACAAATAGTAAAGATGCAATTGATTTAATGCATGTAAATTAATCTTTTAAAAATTATTATATTTGTTGCATTTAAAGATTACATGTTCAATATGTGAAATTGAATTACATTTGTTTTTTTTATTTAAATTTTTTAGTAATGTTTTCTACTTTTATCTCCAATCAGTCTTGCTAATCATTATATTGGTTACATTTAAAAGTTAGATCTTCAAAATCGCAATTTAATTACATTTGGTTATTTAAAAATTAAATTTTTGTGGAATGTTTTTTACTTTTTTCTCCAATCAGTCTTGCTAATCATTATATTGGTTACATTTAAAAGTTAGATCTTCAAAATCGCAATTTAATTACATTTGGTTATTTAAAAATTAAATTTTTGTGGAATGTTTTTTACTTTTTTCTCCAATCAGTCTTGTTAATCATTATATCGGTTAAACTTTAAAAATATGTCTTCAATATCGCAATTTAATTACATTTCGTTTTTAAAAATGTTAATTTTTTGTAATGTTTTGTACTTTTTTCTGCAATCAGTCACAATCAGCACAAGAAAATAGTTGCGTTTGTTTACTCATTTCCAGTAAAATCCAGTAAAAGTTTTTACGAGTTTTCATGATTTGGCGTTTTCGCACGCAAAAGTTGCAAAGTGGGGGAAATTGAGAGAGCGAAAAATGACAGTTGAAGTTGCAAGTTTTCACTGGATTTTACTGGATAAATTTTTACTTGTAAGAATTGGCCTGTACGAAAAACAGCTGATCGCATGGTGCTGGATGAAATTTAAACTGACAACTGCCAGGTTATCCAACCTTGTATTATTGAATCATGTACTCCATGAAGAGGAATTCGGGAGTATAGACTCCTTCTTTTATTACTCGTAAAGGAGGTTTGCAGGATGACTCTTATGGGAGTGGGATTTTTCGTTGTGCACTCCCTTGTTGTCTTTTTGGGAGGCTATTCTGAGAGTAAAGGAAGTATACGAAATAACATGCTCCCAGTTCTACTGGGAGGTTAGATTAGTAAAGGTTGAAGTGGCTGCCGGTGGACACACCAGCACACTTAGGTCCTTAATCTAGACCGTTGTGCTACACAAGGGATCTCTTTCACCCCGCTCCAATACTAACCAATATGAAGCTTTGAGTTGAATTTAAGCAATCGCCTTATCTTAATGCCCGCTAAATCGCTCAGGTCCCTAAAAGGTTCCATCATCTAAGAGCAATCGGGACGTCTGGCAGCCCTGCTGAGTGGTAACAGGACTGAAATCCGCGAAGGAGTTCTTAAATTATTCCGTGGAAACAAATATGTTTGTATTTTTCCTTTTTCTCAAACAAAATTTTCCTACGTTCATATGTACATATGAATCATGATTCAATCATGCATAGGAAGTAAGATGTATTTTGAAACGAATTTCCGTCATCCCTTGTCAAATTTGGTTTGGAGACAAACCGGTTTCGGCGTTGTGCCATCTTCAGTGTCATTTTCCGTTTCGGTCGATTCGAAATAAATTTATGGGCCGGTTAGTCAATGTCTGGTTAACACTAATCTACGGTTAAACATCGTTGTCGACGTCTTCATGCATACAACAGGGAGTTGGTAACGTCGATTTATTAATTTAAAAAAAAAATAACGAATTGGGCTCAAGTTGGGAGTAAAATTTAAATTTGAAAACATCGAAAAACTACCGTCAAAAATATTATGAATGGCGCAATTTCGCCATGGTTTATGATGCTGTAAAAAGGTGCATTCCCAAAATCAGTCTCGAAAACTTCGAAGAATTTCGAGTATTTAGTTTTCGCGTTAAGAGGAATTCCATAAATGTAGTATGTATATTTGATCATATGAAAAGTCTCAGCGGATTTTTGTCACTATGGCAACACTAATTTAATTGCGTCAAATGACTGGTTTGATCCCGTATTCCTCGGACTAACAGCTTCATTTCGTAAGTCGTAAATTAGGCTAACAACATTGGCATTGTCTACTGTCGTGCTGAAATAAGTAAACGACGAAAATTGTCGAAAACTATGCAGTGCTGTCAAGTGTGAAATATTCGGTACGATACGACTCTCGTAAAACGACTTGCATTCGACACGACTCTCGCAATGAGGCTGTTGTAAGTCTAGTAAAACTGTCACACAATAAAAATTCGCTCAGGGCGAGAGAGTAACACTGAAAAGTACGGGATCCAAATTTTACTTGTAAAATTTTGCTTATTTCGTAAGTAAACACACTCAGCTCGCACATGTAAATAACCAAAAGCACTTACAAATTAATTAGAATCCACTCAAACAAGTAATTCAACATTTTATAACACCATTAGCAAAGTGTCCTTTTCTTTTATTTACAATTTGGTTGTCAAACACACTGCAGCTGATCGTTTGACACATTTATCAACAAAAAATCTTCGGACTAAAACTGGTAACTTCTGAAAAAGAAAGGACCTTATTTACTCTCTTATTTGTCCTCTCAGTTGCCCGAGAAACGAGTACGCGATCAGTTTCCAGTAAAATCTGGTAAATTCTGGTAAAAAATGGTAAGTTCGGACTCATACGGGGTCACAACTGATGTGTGTTTGAAATGTGACGTTTCTGGTTCTACTCGGGAACTCGGTGCTCGGTAATATTTCCCATGTATTTAATTTGAGAAAAATATTCGTGCTATCGGTTTACCTATTACTAAATTATCGTGGTAGTTGGTAAACTGCATTAAATATTCGGTCAAAATGTATTTCTCTTATAGGAAAAAAGCTACGTATCAGTTGTTGATGAACATATCGATGGCTGAGTGGAAGATCGACCTATCTCGGCTGCCTGTTCGAAAACGTTCTATCTCAAAAAACTTTTCAGAACGCCCTATTTCAGAATTTTATTGAAAAACACCTTATCTCATTCTAATTCGGTTCAAAAACGCCCTATCGATGATGCTTTTCTACTATAAAATAAATTAAGAGTAAAATCAAAAGAAGCTTTCTAAATATGAACAAAATTTGGCCATATACATACATATACTGGCTTACCAAATACATATAACGACTCGTGCGCCACCTATCGGCAAAATTCCTAGTGGAGTTATTCCTTTTCATGTAGTTAATATACGTTCTAAATATGAACCCAATCGGAATATAAATACGGGCTTTTCAATCAGCTCGACTACTGCGCCACCTATCGGATTAACTCATCTTTCGTATTGCAATGTCATCGGGTTCTGAGCCAACTGAGAAGTTTTAGGAGCAAATTAAATAAAAGCTTGTAAGAAGGTGAAACGCTACAAAAACCTGCCGTCACTTGAAAAGTCGATGAAATAATGCAAATATTTGAGCAAGACAGACATTAAAGTGGTAAGGAGATAGCGGAGCCACTAAGCATCAACAACTTGACAGTTTGGAATTATCTCAATAGAGCAAGCTACTCAAAGGAACTCGATTAGATTCTTAAACTTTGGGTTAGTTTTATGAGACTTTGACGCGACTATTTGAAATGGCGTAGCACTATTTCACGACAAGTGCAATTGTTAAAGAATATTAATGAACGCCAAATGACGTCTTCCCCACTGTGGGACATATCAGTGTGGCTTAGGACTTGTTAAATTCACCATAATGAGGCATTTCCCGTATAACAAATCTTGGCAAGCCCGTTAGAAAATAAACGATACAAAAGCCTTGCCTAGCCGCCGACATATCTAAACTTGACACACCCTCGAAAATGATAGAGCCCCTCAATAACAAACGAGTTTTCCGACAAGGCGGTTTTCTATCGTGCGACTTCCTCTTTCTTTTGCAAAAGGGAAGGACTTTGTCTACCTAAGATCCAACATAAACGCCACCAATAAAGTCAGCCTGAAAAGCGAGCGAATAGGTCTTGCTTTGGGTTCGGTAGGGAAGTGAAAAGCAGAACCCACTCTCGAGACCAACAAAAATTATGCTTTAAAATCTCTCATTCTATGGATTATGTCAAACAAAGATCAGGCTACTGAGAGAGTTAGAGACATAATCCTGTTCGCGTTACCGACGGATTCTGACGAATATGGAATGACATAATCAAGCTGAATTGGGCATGTTGTACGAACGGATGGCCAGGCTACGGTGAAAAGATCCTTCGACGCAGCACCCATGAGTGGACAATGGACGCATGAAGTGCAGAACGGCCTGTCTGCACTCGGGATGCACAACTGGCTAAACTTCGCAAAGCAGTAACGCACTTAGCGAAGATTTTTAGTCTCAACGTAAACCGTCGAAGGGTTGAAGTGCCAAACAAGAAGAAGAAAACTTCGTTTCTCTGATGCTGGTTTAGAAATAACAGTTGCTGAACTAAATCGCCCAGCGAAGGCTCCTGGAGGTGAAAGAATGCAATAAAAGGATCACCTTCCATCAAGCGAACAGACAGTGTACTACCCGCAGAAATAAG